GTGGCCTACGGGCTTGGACATTGGCTCAATACTTCATTGTATTGCTCTTTATGGATGGTTTTCTCGGTGCATTTGTACTCTCTACTTGGGATACTTCTACTTGCTCAGCTGTGTGATTTCGCAATTTGGTTTTATGTATTTCGCTCACACTCATATTCCTTGCAATTTGGTATCAGAGCTGGTCGATGATCACCGCTTACCTGACACCGGTGACATTGTAACTTGGTGCGCTGAGGATGCTTCATGTGCAGTGAGTATACTTTGCCGCTGGTTGAATAGCGGGGCCTAGGTAGAGAGGCCGGCCGCCGGAAGGCTGTGGCGACAGCGTGGGAGCTGTGGCGACAGCGGGTGTATGCATGATGATGAGAGCATGCTGACGTGGCATTTTGGCTGAGGTGGCACTGCATTGCGTTGTGGGTGGTACCGAGGCTATGGACCGGTCATCGAAATGCACATCAGCCCAATTGGTGAGAAATCTGTGGTTGGGGGCAGCTATCTCCAGGTACGTTGTTCCCATTCCTTATCTACCCTCTCAATCTCTTCTTACCGTGAGGAAGTGAGTCCAACTTGAGTGTCCTCTCTTTGGTAAGGAGTCGTGTGCGCTCTATCTTGAGAGACGACATTCTTCCCGGTGGCGCATCTGCAGGAGAGGGCGGTGCCTCTGAAGGGCCCTGGTCGAAGCACGTGGGTCACGGTCACCATGCCAACCAATGGGATTAGTACACGCATGCGATGGCTGCTCTGTCCATTAAGGCTCTTTGCTGCGCTGATAGAAGGGGTGTGCGGACTGACCAGTCCTATTGAGACGCTCCCAGACCGTCTATAAACATTTCTGGTTGGGGTCTGATCTGTCCACTGGCTGTGATCGTCGTCCTGTTTGCGACGTTAAATAATTCCTGAGGAGATGGGGGCTCTCCTTAAATCCCTCCTGATCAGCCAGATCAGTCAGACGTAAGGCTCGTTGCACGCGAGGATAAACAACGGGGCAGGCTGGTCATAAGCATACTTCTTGGGCACAGGGGTGGGCCGTGGTTGCACACCTTAGACACCGCAGCTTGAGGATGTTCACAGGTACGTTGGATACAGGGGAAGGGGATTCCAATTGTGAACTCAACTGTATATCACTGACATATCCATTGTACATAGATCTGCTCACACTCTATTTTGATTAGTTGGTTGACCGACTGCTGACACCTAACAGACAGACTAGAGAAGGACTGTAATCTACCATAGTCAGTTCTTCTCGAATCTTCTGTCCAGACTAATCAGAATAAGAGTTAGACAATGTGTACAGTTTGTGTAGATGCTGTTGATGCCGCTTGACTAGTAGACCAGGTAACTCGCCGGGCATTTATTTAATTATTTATTTTTAGATCCGGTCAGACGCATGTTGCGGTAGGTTCGAGGAGTACATTAGTGCAGACAGCGTCTGTCTAACCAAGGAGTGGATCAGAGGGTGGTGAGGGTGCAGATGACGATAGGAGGTTAACAAGGCTATCATCCCTTAGAATTCCTAGAGTGTTCCGGACCCTACAACCGGGAGAAGAGAGATTAAGGGCTGAAGCTAGGGCCCGTAACCTTGAGGCTGCAAGAGAAGCAGTAGCCGCTAGAGCGGTAGCAATGAGTAATGCTACTTCCGCAGCAACTGCTGCGAACTCAACTGGTCAAGGGCCAGGCATGCCAACCAGTTCACAGTCAATCTCCAGTACGTCAAGGGTTGGCACTAGTCAAATGGCGGGCTCGCAGTTCAGCTCGCCACCTCCACGCACCCGGGAGCAAATGGAGCTCCAACAAGTAGAGAGGATCCACTTGAGGCTAGAGGAGGAACTTAGGCAGGCTACTAAAAGAGAGAGAGATCAAAGAAAGAAGTGTCAGATTAGAGGGCAGGGAGGCGGACATGGCTGCGCTAGAGGCACTAGAGGACTCCGCACTCAACACTACAGGAAAGATCCTGAAGGCAAGTGTCCTATCCATGCATGCATACATAGATAGTAAAATGGACGCAATGCAGGATACTCTAGACCAGATTTTGCAAGCGCTACATAAGCCAGGGATCCGGCCAGCAGCTTTACCATCATTGCCACTCTCAGCGATGACAGGCCTCTATGCAGCTCAATCAGGACCACCACCAAGTGTACCATCAACAGTAGCTCTATCTCAGACTGTTGCTTCTTCATCTTCTGGTCCAGCGACTGTTGCTACACCACAGTCCCCACCTGTCTTGCAACCGGGACAACAATATCCTTGGTACCCCAAGACCCCACTGAACCCACCTGCAACCTTCTCAGGAGACACGAAGGATGAGGCTCTCGACACATGGTTGAGAACGGTGCCTGTGTGGGTGAGGGCAAAAAGGACATTGGTAGAAGAGGAAGTGATTACTGCCGCATCCTACTTAAAGGGTTCAGCAGCCCGCTGGTTAAATGGATTGGTAGCTTCAAAGGACTTCGACAGGAACATGCATGATTGGGCGCAGACCCACACATTAGAAAGCTTTATGGACTTAGTGGAGGCTCGTTGGCACAACCCTCGGCAGGCACTGATTACCACCGATGGGCTCTTGAAACTTGATACTAAAAAGTACAAGTCTGTGCGGGAACTCACCACAGCCGTAGAGCGCCTGATCGTCGTCCCGGGAGTGGAGTACAATCCACAGGTCTTGCTGACCATGTTCCTGAGATGTCTTTCCACAGACATTAGGAATTTATTAGCCAGCGAGGCTCGCAGAGAGTATCACACCTTTGAGTCATTCAGCAAGAAGGCCCTAGACTTAGAGGCTACGTTGGGTGGAGCTCAAACACCTTCTACGGACGGGAGAAAGAAGAAGACTCCACAAGAGTGGAAGAAGAAGGGTAGTCGATTGATGATGGTTGATTCCGATGGAAATCAAACCGAGATCGATGATGTTTCCGATCTTGTGGAGGATTCAGAGTTTGACGGCGAAGATAGTGCTGAGGGTAAACAAAATAGTTGCTTGGGTTAGAGCAGGTCTGGATCAAGAAGTGTGGCGGGACCGTTGGTCTCGTGGTGCTTGTATTAACTGCGGCGAGTATGGTCACACACAGTTTAAATGCAAGAACCCGAAGGTCTCGCAGAAAATCCCTCCCAAGGGTGGGTTCTCTTCTTCTCAATTTGGGGCCTATACGAGCTCCAGCTCGGGAAACACTTAGGGCCAGTAGAAGTTATAGCTGCTTCTACTCTCGTTGAAGCGGGTGATGTACCCTCCCCGTTTCAAGAGATGGCCAAAGCTATTGACTCCTTAGTCACCCCGCAGACGCATCTGGACCCAACTATACTCTGTACGTTGGATGTGTCTGAGGCCTTAGAGGACCTTCAAGGCGAGTGGTCGGCAAGGGACCCTCGTGAGTCCTGGGTGACACTGAGTCGCGACTGCGTTGACAGACTCTGCCTAAAGGACCGGGTGCAGCGCCTTAGTAGACTGGTAGCATCTACTTTGGCCAACAATGAACGCATGATGGTGGAGGACTACATTAAAGATGTAGTCTGCACCTTCTCCTACCCAGAAGGAGAAATAAACCACAAGATATCATTCTTGGTGAGTGACGACTTGCCCTTTGACATGTTGTTGGGCATTTACTACCTCGAGGTTGCCAAGCCCCAGTTTGACTRGGACAAGAAGGTGTTGAAGCATGAGTTGCCTAGTGGGAGAACCGTGAGACTAGCCAAGTGCAAAGCCAGTAGGTTAGTAGACTCCTATGCGTGCTTATGCGCATCTACCTTTTATAATTATTATAAACAAAACCAAGAGGAAGGAATGTACTTAGTCTATGTCTTTGCAAAAGGGGAGACCGTTGAAACACCCCCAGAGATAGAGACCATCGTCGCTAAGTACCCAGATCTGTTCGAGGAGCCTACAGGAGTCGTAGACAGGGAGATTGTCCATGCCATAGAGATTATCCCAGGAAGTAAAACACCTAAGGGTAGAATCTATAGGATGGCTCCAGCCGAGTTGGATGAACTTCGGCGACAACTGAAAGAGCTCACAGAGAAGGTTTGATTCGACCTAGCACTTCCCCCTTTGGCTTACCAGTATTGTTTGTTCCAAAGAAAGGGGGAACACTAAGGATGTGCATTGATTATAGAGGCCTCAATGCCATCACCGTTAAGAACGCAGAGCCTCTACCACGCATCGACGACCTATTGGATACGGTGCAAAGGTGTAAGTACTATACAAAGATAGACTTAAAATCCGGCTACCATCAGATCGCCATAAGACCAGAGGACCAGCACAAAACCGCATTTCAAACCAGGTACGGTCTGTACGAGTTTGTGGTGATGCCTTTTGGCCTTTGCAATGCGTCGAGTACATTCCAGCACGCCATGAATAGGATCTTCCATAACTACTTAGACAAGTTTGTTGTCGAGTACCTCGACGACATACTTATCTTTAGTAGATCTGTCGAGGAGCATGCTCAACATATACACAAAGTACGTTCACTCCTTCGGCAGCACAAGTATAAGATAAACTCTGCGAAATGCGAGTTTGGTCGCACTCGAAGCTTGTACTTGGGTCATGAGGTATCCGCGGATGGAATTAGGCGCGAAGATGCGAAGGTGGCTAGCATTCGTGACTGGCCACGACCCCACTTTGTGATTGAGGTCAGATCATTCTTGGGAATGTGTGGTTATTACCGCAATTTCGTAAAGAATTATAGCACGATTACATCTCCCTTGACCGATCTAACTCGACTTGATACACCATGGGACTGGACCGACGAGTGTGAGGCAGCTTTCAAGCGTTTGAAGCATGCTCTCACGCATCATGAGGTTCTCATGGTACACGACCCGCAAAGGCCGTTCGTTGTAACCACTGGCGCAAGCCAATATGTGATTGGCGCAGTGCTGGCTCAGCAGGAAGGGAAGAAGCTGAGACCAATCGAGTACATGAGCAAAAAGATGCCTTCAAAGAAGTTGGCGAAGTCCACCTACGAGAGGGAACTCTACACTCTTTACAAGGCACTTGTCCACTGGAGGCACTACCTGTTAGGAAGGTTCTTTTACTTGAGAACTGACCATCAGACACTCAAGTGGATCAAGACTCGACCAGTTCTCTCCGATGCATTCAAACGCTGGATTGAAGTCATAGATCAATATGATTCCAAACTAGACTATTTGAAGGGAGAGTACAACAAGGTTGCARAWGCGTTGTCTAGGAGGGCAGACTACCTAGGTGCGCTGATTTATGAGTTTGGTTTGTCTGAGGACGTGACTCGATCGTTGGATGAAGCCTACAAGGAAGATCCCATCACGATGGACATCATCAACAAACCACAGGCTAAAGATAAGGCCACCACTGATGAGTTTGTGATGGTGGATAGGTTGCTCTTTCTTGAGAAGGCAGGGTTCAAGAGGTTAGTTGTTCCATCTAGAGAGACTTTGCGTAGTTTATTTTTAGGTGAGTGCCACGACGCAATGGGACACTTGGGCTATAAGAAGACGAGTGCTAATTTAGTACAGCGATTCTGGTGGCCCAACATGCTTGACGATGTGAAGAAGTACGTGGAGAACTGTCAGGTCTGTCAGCGGGACAAGCCGCGGACTCAAGCTCCGCTTGGGTTACGCAAGCCCTTACCCATTCCTGCGGGCCCATGGCAGAGTATCTCCATGGACTTCATGGATACTCTTGTGACGAGCAAGAATGGCAAGAGGCACATCTTCGTCATAGTGGATAGGTTCACTGAGTACGCTAGACTAATCGCCATGCGAGAGACTGCCAGGACTGAGCACGTCATTAGGTTGTTCATGGACAACTGGGTGCGTGATTTTGGATTGCCTAAGTCTATCGTTAGTGATAGAGATGTCCGTTTCACTAGTGAGATGTGGAAGAAGGCCGCTGAACAGATGGGCAGCCAGCTTCAAACGACTTCTGGGAATCATCCCGAAGCAAATGGACACGCTGAACAGATGAACCGAGGCATTACATCAAACCCAACCAGGATGACAGGGATGAGAAGTTACCTCTCATCGCCAGTCTGTACAACAACGCTGTACACAGCACCATCCGTGTCAGTCCTAACCAACTACATCTGGGATGGAAGCCTAGATCTGCTCTAGACTTCCTCCTGCCTGAAAATCGAACTGCTGCAACTCCTGGAACCATCGAATTTGGTGTCCAGTATGAGAAACTGCTGCAGCAGACTGTCGAACACATTACGAAATCTCAGGAGGTCATGATTGCTTATGAGAACAAGCGTCGTCGACAGTCCACATTTCAGGTAGGGGAACGTGTCTGGGTCAAGGTTAGTGAACTAGGACAGGAGTTTGGCATCTCTGGGAAACTAATGCCTCAGTATTTCGGTCCCTCGGAAGTCCTGGATATCGTGGGGAATGATTTGGATGGTCCCTTGTACGTTATTCGTATCCCTGGTCACTTACGCACTTACCATGTTTTCCACGCTTCCAAACTTGCACCTTTCGCTGAGACAGCACAGTTCCCATCACGGAGATCTATGCTGCCCGCAACCATGGATGGCCACGTGGACGTCGACGACATCCTGGATCACAGAGATACGCCTGTTCCTAAGCCACCTGGCAGGGGAAGACCTCCCAAACCTGCGAGGGAATACAGAGTACATTTCAGGCATCATACAGATCCGAAGGAAGATCGATGGATTTCAAGGGAGGAACTTGTCAAGACAGCTCCTCATATCGTGGCCGATTATGAGAAAAGACTGAAGGGGAAGGCACCAGCATGAAGCATCTCAACGGACTTTCGAAGCTAAGGGGGATGGAATGTGAGGAACAAGCCCTCAAGTGGCCCTTTCAGACATCACATTGTTTTGGGCCAAGGCCCCAGCAAGCCAAGTGCCCGCCCTATGTGAAGGCG